CCCCCCCCCCCTTTTTGTGTTGGTTACTCTGTTGTAATTATCGTCACTTATATGACCTTATTGTGTTGCAAGTGCCGTAAAACTCGCACTTAAACTAAGGGACCTCACTCACCATAACACGTAGTAGACTTGCGTTTGATTCCCGAGAGGTAGAATTTACATATCCAGTATCTTCAAAAAGAATAGTATAATTGTGTGGGTTCAACGCCCCTATTTACACTGTTAAGTTACTGAGGAGGCAGGACCTGGGAGTTTAACGTCCATCTCCGAAAGGACCGAGCCATGTGGGAAATTTGTGCAAATTGCCTTTCCAGTATCTCCGACCTTCTGAGTTATATAGTATGTAGGGACCTCACTATAGTGCGATTAAAAATTCGTGGCGCGATTTACTGTCAAATATCTCCTCAACTATTGAACATAGGCTCTCCAATTTTTGCACAGTGACTTGTATTAATTTGTCTTAACAGATCAACATTTTTATAAACCCCTGCTATATGTTTTCTAGAAAATTCCTTAATAAATACTTATGAAAAATCCAAGTGGGTGGTTTCTACAGATTTTAAAATGTTTACTGCTGGGGCAATATTGCCTTCAATAGCAAGTCCGTCATGTTTTTCTAATCGGGACCTTATGCTTATTGAAAACCTTTAGTGCAAAAAATGTGTTCACTATAAAATTAATTTCCTGCAAAAAGTTTTGTCAGTAAAAATTGTTATTAATGAGCTGGGACGTGGGCCATAAAATGCGTGATCATAATGTGTGCAAGAAGCGGGAAAAGCTGTGAACAATCCCATTTTACGCGTGACGGAGGTATTAAGTATTTTATATAAATTTGTGAAGAAAAGTTTTTAGATATAGCTCCAATTGTTTTGGGAAAATATTTAATATAAATTGATACAGACTGAGGGGCAAAATATGGATGCCACTGTTTCACTCGTTAAAGACACATTCGAGGATAAGTTGCGCCATGAATTTTTGACCGCACTATAGCCGTCGTACGCAGAAGACTTAAACTCCGTTGAGGTTTATTTTTCTTATCTAGTATCTCTCACTGTCTGCTGGGTCAATGTGTACCTCTTCGCAAGGACTGGCCTTTATAATATGCTGGCTCGAAGCAGCCCGTCTCTTATATGACGTAAATTGAAACGAAGGGGTGCGACACATCTTCTTCTTTTTTCTTTTTCTTCTTCTATCCCGTGGTTCGGGCAACCGCGAGAGCACCACTGCATCTGAAAACCAGCTCTCGCCATCTATTTTTGTCCTCTGCTTTCCTCAGATTGTCATACATCGTTTTTCCTGTCCACTCTGTGATGTTGTCCTCCCATCTTCTTCTCTGCCTTTCTCTCTTTCTCTTTCCTTGTACGGTTCCTTGCAGGATTGTTTTGGCAAGTCCTGTGGATCTTGTGACATGTCCATACCATTTTAATTGTCATCTCTTCACTGTGGTCAGTATATCTTCATGCTGCCCCACTGCTTTGGCGACACACCAACAATGATAATGACTTGTGTGTTCTGGGTTTTTAAATATTTAATAAGAAGAGCCCGTAGTTATGAAGATGAAGATGTGGGTGGGTGGCTTGCGCTTTCGGGTGGCTTGCTCTATCTTTCTAATCAAACATCAAAATCTATTTTTCCTCATCTCTCATCCTTTTTTAAATATTTGTACGTTACTCTTCAGTGAAACTTCTAACCTTCTTAACTTCTCGTTTATATCGTTTGTCCTATTTTTGGTGCAAGCGCCGTAACACTCTTACTGAAACTAAAACTACACATGTGTCAGTGTGTATGTGTGTGAATGTTCGTGTGTTTGTATGTGTGTGTATGTATGTCTGTGTGTGTGTGTGTGTGTGTGTGTGTGTGTGTGTGTGTTTGTGTAGGGGGGAGAGGTGTTTTGACATGTTCAGTAAACGTGCTAAATAGTCCGCTTTCTATTAAGACATAGACTGTAGACTCTCCAGATTTACTGAACTCATGGTACACGACACGCCAATTTACTGGCAGCCGAATTCGGTTGGTTGTTTTAGTTGCAACAATTTAAAAAACCACAAAATGCCAATTAATCCATGTTAATTATGCAAATAGCTTTAAGTTTATTTCATGGAGCATTCATTTTTGTTTGGTTGCATGTGTATTTTATGCAAGTAAGTTAACCAGGAACTGAGGTATGGGATAGTTTACGAGTACAGATTCTGTTGTAATGCATACAGGTCACCTTGTCGATAAAATAGTCAGCTTCCATTCCCCTCTCCCTCTCCCTCTCCCTCTCCCTCTCTCTCTCTCTCTCTCTCTCTCTCTCTCTCTCTCTCTCTCCCTCTCCCTCTCCCTCTCCCTCTCAACAAGCGGTCACCCACTCGTCCGCTGGCATTCAATGCAGAAAAGCAGAGTCGGGAGTACTTTTCACAGTGGCGCGCAGTCTTTGACAGCTCATAGTATATAAATCTTAACTCTTTGTATCCCTCAGCGCACGCGATATTTATTAGATCTTATCTCCTTTCATACGTTCTGAGCACTCACTATTTACTTATTTCTGTATCCTTGGCGGATCCATCTCAGACAGTTTCCAATCGACCTGATTTTTTTGTTCTACTCTAAGACCTTGCTAATCCCCAACTGTTAAATCAGTTCAAACTAACCAAGCGTTATGAAAGCCACAGAGACCTTGAAATTTGTGTAACACTTTTACATCTCGTTTTGTATGAGAGCTGACCTTGTGTCGTCACAGTTTTGAGCAAGAAAATGGCACCAGAGACCTGTCTTTATGAGTTTTCGGAGCTTTTACCGCATTCACACAGTTCTGTAGTTTGCCAATGATTGTAGAATCTATTCATTCTAAAAAATAATGTGCTGACATCAAATCTACGAAAAGGACCAAAAACATTGTGTGTAATCGTTGGAAAATCAGGCTTTCGTCAAAAAATCAAATCGAAAAAAAATTCGGATAATTTTCCGCCCTACTGGCAATAATTATAGATTATTTTCATTCTGGCTCAACAACTTATATGTCCATTTAGAATAACAGCTTTGTGTAAATGCTATGAAAAAAAAGTCCATAGAAAATGTAAAAATTGCAATTACAAAGGACACCAAAACTTTGGAAGTCACCAAACATTGACGGATTTTTTTTTCTCGATAATCTAATTTCTGACACCAAATAACCCCACCTCCTTCAATCGCAAATTTCTCGAGTTCAAATTGAGACACATAGGTATTTTGAAATAAAACACAATACACATGGATAAGCGTTAGGATAATACCAATAACCCCATTATCATGCTTATAATCTGACGAGCGCCTGATTCCACCACGTCGTGACACGTTTATCCTCAAGTCAGCAGATCTTCTCTTTTGATCTTGAAATGCGCAAATACTTCTATCAAAGAATAGCTTTCTCTGTTTGAATTTCTTTTCCTTTTACATTTTTGAATGGGAAACAACTCAGCCAAATTATGCCTTCATCCTACTCTATAATATAAAATACTAGAAAGCTTCTTTCGGGCGAAAACGTTAATTTGCTGAAAATACAGTTATAACTCCGCGAATGTATACACTTTCACGCTCGACAATCTTACGCGGAAACTTTATATTTAAGAACCCCCTGTTTTTCCCCCTATTTTAATTCCGAAGGTCAATTCAATAAAAAGGGTAACGGGGTGAGAAAAGTAAGCGGCGCAGTTTAGCG